ACAAACACTCACACACACACACACACACACACACACACACACACACACACTCACTAACAAACACACTCACACACACACACACACACTCACTAACAAACACACTCACACACACACACACACACACACACACACAGTGCTCTCTGTCCAGAGATCTGCTGGATTGTAGCTCTATCTAGTGGAGAGTCTGGAGTTGTTTGTGAGTAAGTTGATTTTCTTTCTGTTTTAAAGATGTTTTCTTTGGATTGTTTGAGAATGTAGGAGAACATAACTTCATTCATTTGTGTTTCCTGCTCGCTAAGTTTCACATACAGAAACTAAAATCTGGCTCTAAATCTCTCTTGTCTTTCTTCACATCCCTTACTCCAAAAAAAACAAAAAAACAACAGCAACAAAACATGGTTACTATAGTTAAACCATGCTAACCACAAATTAACCATGCTTTTGCTGCACTAACCATAGTTTACATTTACATTTACATTTAGTCATTTAGCAGACGCTTTTATCCAAAGCGACTTACAATTGAGGGATACATAAAGCGATTCTTCTTAAAGAGGCAAACAGACACAAGAAGTGGTTGTAATACCAAGTTCTTAGACCACGAGGCGTCGCTCACTAGCGGATCTCAGGCTTCTGGAGGGGATGTAGATGTGTAGTAGTGAGTGGAAGTAGGCGGGTGCTGAGCCTGTGGCTGTTCTATATGCAAGCATCAATGTCTTGAACTTGATGCGAGCCGCAACCGGCAGCCAGTGCAAGGAGATGAAGAGAGGTGTAACATGGGCTTACCGTGGTATTTGCAGTAAAACCGTGCTTATACCTCCTAAAGCCCAGAAACAAAAGGTTTTGTGAATTTAGTATTTTTTCAGGTCACTACATTGTTTAGAGCATAAGAAACAAATTACAATTTTGAAAAATGATATTTTATGCTATAGACCAGGATAAAAAGACAAGAATGAACGTGAGTAGGCAAAAACAATAAATCATCAATACATTTTTAGGTATTTTTTTTATACCAAACTTTGTATAAAGATGAATCTCAACTATGTTACGAAAGATATAACAGAATGATATCCCAGTGTGCTTGATGCAGTATGTGTGTGAAATGGACATAAGAGCGTTTACAGTGTGCATCACTGTATCTGTGGGCCACACGTAATGAAAAAAGCAATAATTAGCAATATTTTCATAATAATATCTCATGTTTCATAGGAATATTGTTCTCTAGCGTAACTCATTGTTCCTTCACTTTGCTGAAGCTTTTGAAGTGTCTGCATCTGTTCTGTGTCAGCTGATGAGACCAGCCGAGAGATGGCGCTGTTCCCCAGCCTTCCTCACAGACACTGCATGTTTATTCGCATGTTCTCTCTTTTCATGTGCATGTGAGTGTAGATGTCAGCTGCAGCATATATGTCTAAAGGATTGTCTAATTAACTTATTGTTATCGTTACTGAAATAATGCTTACTGTATGGCACTTTTTCAGTTTAAATTTGAAATGCTACTATAATTTATGTTTTCTATAAATGCATTGAATTACTTGTGCATGTAAAGAATAAAAGCAGCGGCATCTCCAGCTGCATTCAGTGTGTTTTCTTGTATGTGCATCGCAGATCTGAGTTTTCTAACCTGCACTTTTGCACTCATTGACAAGCTCGGCGTCATTGAGGAATTCTGCGAGCGCGGTGTGGGCGTGGCTTCCGCGACAGGCCACGCCTCCTGAATAAAAGCCCGCACGCAGCGGCTCGCGCGGAGACCCAGCAGCTGATGAGGTGCGCTCGAGACGCTCGCCGGCTGAAGACCCAGCGATATTTCCACTGACTAGCAGCGGCTGATGCGCCCGCAGGTGAGACCTGAGCATCCTCTCTTAACTCGTGCATTGCGTTGTTTTGGCCAGCTTATGGCACTAAATATGGCTCGTCGGTTCTGATTGTGCTGCTTTAGCAGTTTATCAGTCAGCGTGTGTGCTTGGCTTGCTCGGTCAGTCTGAGTCACGTCTTCATTCCTCTGAAGAAGCAAAGGTCACGTTCCGTCATGAATCGCTTTCCACAGACGGGTGTTTCCATCTGCAGCACCACAGAAGCTGTCCCAGCAGTGCTGTTTCACCTGCAGCTCCCCAGACCTCCTGCTCCTCGTGACTGTGGAATGAAGATCATTAGTTTAGTTCCTGCAGCTCTCGCATTGAGTGCAGTCCTTCACATGTGCTCCACAGATTGCTGATGGAGAGCTTGCATGTAAAAGCAGATTCATATATGAGGACATGCACACGGCATCATTTTTCTTTGAATTAACATTTTGTCACAGCTCCAGTGTTCGAGCTCATTCTGATTATTTCTACAGAGCTTTCAAAACAGCTTCACAGTAAATGTTGTAAAATTCATCAGTTATCAAACCAATTCAGTTTCAGCTGAGAAGCATCTCTACAGAAGAGCTCTTACAGCGTCTCCTCGTCTGGATGTGGACATAACTCCTGTGCTGTGTTTGAGGATAATGATCTGAACCTGTGCCTGTGATGCTCTGCTCAGCCAGTGTCACACGAGTTCACCAAAGCTGCATTTATTACATCAAAAATACAGTAAAAACTGTGAAATATTATTAGAATGTAAAACAGCTGTGTTCTGTGTGAATATCTGTTAAACTGTAATGTATTTCTGTGATGTGCAGCTGTATTTTCAGCATCATTCCTCCAGTCTTCAGTGTCACATGATCTTCAGAAATCAGTATAATATGCTGATCTGCTGCTCGAGAAACATCTCTGATTATTATCAATGTTGAAAACAGTCGTGCTGCGCAATATTTTTGTGGAAACTGTGATACACCGTTTTGGGTAAGTTAAGAAATTGATACTTTTATTCATCGAGGACACATTAAATTGAACATTTATAATGTTACGAAAGATTTATATTTCAAATAAATGCTGTTCTTTAAAATTTTCTATTCATCAAAGAATCTTAAAAAATAATATGCATCACAGTTTCCACAAAAAATATGAAGCAGCGCAACTGTTTTCAACCGTGATAACAATAACAATGATTAAAAACTGAGCAAAAATAATAACTGATAATAATTATAAGTGTCATCTGGGTCCAAAAAGTGCCTCTTAACACACTACACAGTCTAACGGCCCGTTCGCACTAAACACAATAACTATAATGATAACAATAAAGGTATAGTTTAAAAATGGATTTGAAACTTAAAAGTATAGCAGAGTCCACTCCAAAAACTATACCATTAATGGCAAAAATGAGCAACATCATTGGACTTTTAGAATTATTTTTTTTTTTTCCAGCTGATGAATGATAAACACATTGACAGTCAATCAGAATTCATCCAGCTTTAAAGAGCTTAAGCATTTAAAGCGGCATGCTTAACAGCTAATGATGATTCAACATGCTCAGTCGAGTAAAAAGCTGCGTCGACAGATGCTCACAAACACAGCGGCATAATACTCTTTGCATTATTTTATCATTTCAAATATAACAAACTCTGTGTGTGAATACTATTGTAAATCGCAAAGCGTAGAATCACACTAGAAACCCTCCTCGATCACACGGCACACATGGGAGCTTATTTCATATCAATGGCAGGTGAAGCACTAAACGACAAGCCTAAACACACGAGCTAAGAAAAGAGAGGACAATGGTAAAGAAATAAATCCTGGTACAGTAAACCAGCTGGACTGAGCGACACAGAAATGTCTCTTTCAGACAGTGGGGCGTTTTGAAAGAATAGGCCATAAAAGTCTGAGTGAGTGTGTGTCTGAGTGAGTGTGTGTCTGAGTGAGTGTGTGTCTGAGTGAGTGTGTGTCTGAGTGAGTGTGTGTCTGAGTGAGTGTGTGTCTGAGTGAGTGTGTGTCTGAGTGAGTGTGTGTCTGAGTGAGTGAGAGAGTGAGAGTGTGTGAGTGAGTGAGTGAGAGTGTGTGAGTGTGAGTGACGGAGTGTGTGAGTGAGTGAGTGAGTGTGTGTCTGAGTGAGGGAGTGTGTGTGTGTGAGTGTGTGTGTGTGAGTGTGTGTGTGTTGAGTGTGTGTGTGTTGAGTGTGTGTGTTGAGTTTGAGCCGTGGTTCTGTAGTCTGGTTGCGTTTCTTCTCTGTCTGGATTATTTTAGCAGGAGGCTGGATTGTTCGGCTCTCTCTTCCTCTCCTCTGTGATCTTTGTGTTTTATTAGGCTGATATTCTGTTATTCTTCTCTGCGCAGGATGTTTAGACGTTCTTCTGCTGAAATATCACTGGCAGCGCTGAGTGTTTATCGCTCCGGTCTGTCACTGCTCCTCACCGGAGCCAGAGAGAGAGAGAGTGTGTGTGTGTGTGTGTGTGTGAGTGAGTGTGTGTGTGTGTGAGTGTGTGTGTGTGTGTCTGAGTGAGTGTGTGTGTGTCTGAGTGAGTGTGTGTGTGTCTGAGTGAGTGTGTGTCTGAGTGAGTGAGAGAGTGAGAGTGTGTGAGTGTGAGTGAGAGTGTGTGAGTGTGAGTGACGGAGTGTGTGAGTGAGTGAGTGAGTGTGTGTCTGAGTGAGGGAGTGTGTGTGTGTGTGTTGAGTGTGTGTGTTGAGTTTGAGCCGTGGTTCTGTAGTCTGGTTGCGTTTCTTCTCTGTCTGAATTATTTTAGCAGGAGGCTGGATTGTTCGGCTCTCTCTTCCTCTCCTCTGTGATCTTTGTGTTTTATTAGGCTGATATTCTGTTATTCTTCTCTGCGCAGGATGTTTAGACGTTCTTCTGCTGAAATATCACTGGCAGCGCTGAGTGTTTATCGCTCCGGTCTGTCACTGCTCCTCACCGGAGCCAGAGAGAGAGAGAGAGAGACACTTTCTCTGACTGACTGTCTCTCATCTGAAACCTCTTATCTTATCGAGCGCATCTGATTCTGATCAGCATAGTTTTCAAACCTTTATTTTAAGTTTTGACTGCTACTGTCACTATTGCACATCATTTAATTCAGTGTCTTTATGAGCTGCTCTGATGTAATGGTCCGGCGTTATTGAAAACATGATAATGAATAACATTCACTCACATGATATTTTTGTAAATTATAGTATTTCAGACAGAGAGTAAATGAAGTGGATCAGACTCATTCTAATGAGCGTGATCTAGTTTGACGTGTTCTAGTTTGGGTTTGCAGTGGTCTAGTTGGACTGAGCTGTCATTATGAACTCGTTATGTGGTGGGGAATTTGAGTCTGATATTAACATCTCGCATTCGAATAAAGCTGAAAATACACAACGCTAGGGATCCCAGTGATTTGAGCACTTTACAAATCCAGTCACACTTTCAAAGAAGGGAATCTTAATGCAATGTAGAATCAACTTGAAATGTTTGTCAAATGTTTTACTGTTGTGATGTATTCGGATAATAATAATAATTTTCAGGTTTCAGTCACTGCTCATCCGGATTATTCATGAGCATCAGCAGGGCAAAGTAAAGAAACACAAGACCAAGAAAACACTTTTGATTGAAAACAGCTCTCAGAAAACATTTGCACAGATCATAAGTGAACACAGACCAGGACTATTACAGAAGCTAACCATTAAAAACATGTTCGTTACTTGAAATAAAATAAACGTTAACTGAAATAAAATAATACTGAGATTAAAAAATAAATATTAAAAATGACAAAAAAGACAGAATTACTAAAAATGCAACTAAAATGAAAATGGGGGGAAAAACTATATTAGTACCTCGATACTAAATGACACTGACACAAACCAAATGTGAAACAAAATCGATTTAATCGACAGTCCATATCTGTACAAATGCCTTTGAATGTTACATTTGTTACGTTTTCTGAAGCTGTGGATCAGCATGGCCTCTGTGTTCATGCGTTTCATTATTTGACATCTAATGATCATTCATAAATATAAACCGATAAATAGTATTCAGTTTTGTTGGATTTAAAATCATCCAACAGTGTGAATGGAAAGTGGAGTAAAGGTCGAACATGGATCGTCCCGTCAGCTCTGGGAGGCCGTGTCACGAAATCAATGCTGCTGCTTTGGGAGCTTGTGGAAAATCCCCTGAGCTGGAATCTGGAGTGCTTCTGAGTACCTGCCTCGGTTTGGCATTGGCCTCGCCATCACTGCGTCTCTGTCTGTGTGGTTTCTGTCTGACTGCTGTACCAGAGTTTAGACTTTAAATAGCCAGTGTGAGAAAAAGCTTCAGGGACGAGTCCCATCACGTCAGTTTAGAACACTTTAGTGGCATGATTGTAGGGGTGTAACGGTAAACCAATGCCACGGTTCACGGTTTTAGAGCCACGGTTGGGTTCTGTTTGCTGTGGAGGTTAATAACAATAATAACAATAATTGCTCTCTGTTAGTTCATGTTGATTAAAGCATTAACAAATGTGACCCTGGAGCACAAAACCAGTCTTAAGTGTCAATTTCATCATCTGAAAGCTGAATAAACAAGCTTTCCATTGGTGTATGGTTTGTTAGGATCGGACAATATTTGAAAATCTGGAATCTGAGGGAGCAAAAAAATCTAAATATTGAGAAAATCATCTTTAAAGTTGTTCAAATGAAGTTCTTAGCAATGCATATTACTAATCAAACATTAAGTTTTGATATATTTACGGTAGGACATTTACTAAATATCTTCAAGGAACATGATCTTTACTTAATATCCTAATGATTTTTGGCATAAAAGAGAAATGTATAATTGTGACTCATACAATGTATTGTTGGCTATTGCTACAAATATCCCCCAGCGACTTAACACTGCTCTTGTGCTGCAGGGACACAGATGAGACTTTAAAAGTTCCAAAGACCAAAAAATCTATTGCCTTAAATTAAAATAAATAATACCTAAATAATGCAAACAAGTCATTGGACTTAGGCTACATATAAAAATGCATGTGCCATGGATAAATAAAATGGAATAGCTGGGCAATAAGGAAATGATTTTAATCAAATATGTAATAACTCAATCTGACACGGAGCTGTTTGAGAGGCAGCTGTGTGCTTTGTCTGCGCGCATGCTTTAGGAAGGGTTGAAATAGCTTGAATGTTTGGATTCAACCTACATGCTATAGTGCAGAAATGTAATGTTTGTGGGATTTTCCCGCTTTATAATCGCAAAACCTGCGGGAATGTGTAGAATTACGCACAATGGCCGCAATCCCGAAAATTCAGGCCCTGGTTTTATTGCACAAGATCAAGCACAAGTGAACTAAGAATTCACAACATTTTTATAATACTGCTCTCATTGTTATGTTATGAATATGACGTCCCAGTCATAGTTATTAATGTTCTGCATTGTTGTTTGTGCTGCTCGCGCTGTAGAGATAATCACTGTATAGGAGGCCTACAATGAAGCGCTTCTGCAGCGTAACTCAACCAAATGCATCTTATATGAGATAAATACATATGCACATAATAATGTACACGATATACATATATAAAGAAAACATTGCAGATTATAGTTCCATTGTTACACCCCTACATGATTGCGTTAACAAAATTACACAAAACAAACTCCTGTTACGCAAAACATTCCTGTCACTGAAACAGTAGGGAATGCCGCTTGCAACACCAGGGTCATGGGTTCAATTCCCAGGGAATGCATGAACTGATCAAGTGTAAACCATGAATGCAATGCAAGTCACTTTGGATAAAAGCGTCTGCCAAATACATGAATTTAAATAATGACGGGGGAAAAAAGTATAATATAAAAATAACAGTTCTGCTGTTCTACTTGACAATCGAGCAGATATGAAGTCTCTCCAGGAGCCTAGATTAGTGTGTCGCTCTTCGGCTCGTAGGGTTCGCGCTCAGTGTCATGATGATCTGACCTCTGAACACCTGCAGCGCTGGAGCGATCCGCCAGTCTTCTGAACCCCGAGCCGTGGGAAGTTTCCATGTGTCTGCACTGTACGAGCCTCATGCACGCCCACGGTTCACTCTCGCTATGAGTGTGATCAGATCTGCGCTCACTCTTGTGTAATTGGTCATTAGTGAAATGAAAGGCTTTCACATTTTCATTCAGTCGGGAGATTTTGGGATTATCCCATGGTGGATGAAGCCGCTGACGTCGTCTTGTTTCTAACGTGTTAGCAGTTATGCAATGTGTTTCACATTTTGACTCATGGATGAGGGAATCTCAATCATCTTTAGCATCCTACGCTCCACTTTACTTAAAGGGGTCATATGACGTTGCTAAAAATAACATTATGTTGTGTATTTGGTGTAATGAAATGTGTTTATGCGGTTTAAGGTTCAAAAAACACATTATTTTCCACATACTGTACATTATTGTTTCTCCTCTATGCCCCGCCTTTCTGAAACGCGCCGATTTTTACAAAGCTCATCGGTCTGAAAAGCGAGGTGTGCTGTGATTGGCCAGCTATCCAGTGCGTTGTGATTGGCCGAATACCTCAAGCGTGTGACGGAAATGTTACGCCCCTCACCATACTGTGATGATGTCCTGTCCGGCCGGAGCGACGAGACAAACACATTAAAACCCATTATAAACCAGGCATTTGTTGCATCCAGTGGGGACATAATTACTGATTATAATGACTTATACTGTCTTTTTACACGTTGTGTTGCATCGCGCCGCGTAAACATAAAACCATGTGCATTTGTGATCGGAGAAATGACAAACTACAAGCACTACTCTACACTGCTCAAAACTTCTTTGCGTGCACATTTGGGCGTCATTATGCAAATCTTCCCACATAGTGAGGTAGATATGTGGGGGCGTGTTAGAACGAGCCGTTTTAGGAGGACGTGGACGAGTCTTAACTTTTATAAAGAATATCTCTTTGGATTTGAGACTTTAGTCTTTGCAACTTTAGGGATCTTATCTATGCACAATCAGCTTGTAACACTCCAAAGAGAAAGGGACAATTGAAATCGCATCATGTGACCCCTTTAACTTCACCTGCTGTCCGGCCTTTAGTCGGAGCAGATTTGAGCTCAGAGATTCGGTTCGCATGGGTCAGATGGATGTTCACTTCATCCGCTTGCGTTGGGAATGAATGAGTGACTTTTATTAGTCGGACAGTGGAGATCCCAGCATGCTTTGCATGGACAGAAACGGACGTGTTGAGCTGCAGAAGAGCTGATGGTTTGGGGGTTTCCAGTGTGGTGAAGAGTGAAGCTGCGCTTGAGGATGCTTCATGAAGGGCTTCCTGTATGTTGTTGTGCTCAGAAAGCAGTTACCGTGCGGTAAGAAACATGCTCGATGCAAGAGACTGGTTTGAGTTTGTTTTATTGTATAACTGCGTGATAGAATGCATCCTTCTCAAACGCAGTGCGATCTGTTCGTTCAGTTCTAGCAGAGACTCTGCTGGTGATGTGCGTGCATTGAGAGTAACTGTGTGTGTTGTGTGTCCTGTGCAGCTGAGCCGTGATGACTGACGTGATGATCAGCGCCACACCGATGGACGACATGAGGCTCAGTCCCAGCAAAGACCGCCTGACCTTCCAGGTAACGTCTGCTCGCTGCCTGTCTGCTTGGGTCTGCAGCTCCAGCTGCTCCTGAACGCTCAAATAAATTTAATTCGGTAAAATTTAATAAAATCCGTGTTGTTTTTTCCCCCCAAATTTCATTTAGATTTTTTACGAAATTCTATTTGATGTTATCCCAAATTCTGCTTTCTCTGTTTTCATTTTTTTATTACATTTTAATAATCAAGACGGATGTCTAATCGGTTGAATTCATAAAACTTCAACAATTGAATAGTTTCCCAAAATATTTATTTTTAAAACCAATATTAGAGCCCCATGAAATATGTTTTCAGAAATCCTGTGCTGTCTATTTTAATTTTTCTGCATTCTGTTTTATGATTGATTGCAAATGTATTATCAAAACAGTATTCCTGTAACAGTAGAGTTTGGTGCTTGCGTTAAATCCCGGGGAATGCATGAACTGATAAAGTGTAAACCTTGAATGCGATGTAAATGTATCAAACAAATGCATAAAGCTTTAACGAATTAATTAAACTTTTGAAATGTAATCCGATGGAAATGTAACAATTCCTTTTATTTTAAAAGGCTGCACAATAGAGGTTTACAAAATTGTATCATATTCAGTAAGGTTTTAAAAAACTGTATATGTATTATTATTATTATTTTAACCGACTTCACACGCACTAGTCCGTATCACCATCTGATTAAGTGTACAGCCCTACTTTTGATTTATTCATCCAACATTTGCCAAATTCATTCCGTGTCACGCAGTAAATTCCATTTTTTATGATGGATTCAGTCCGTGTTCTCCACACTGCAGAAGTCATATAGCCATGTGAAGTCATGTGAAGAATAAAACGCATCTGTTCATCGCAGCCTCCTGTCTGCTAGATATTTGGATGCTCTAAGTGCAAATGAGTTCTGACTCTGTAATGCTTCACCTGAGCGTTTAGAGATGAGAAGGTCTGCCATTAGCGTTCATGAGGATTTGAACCGTGTCATGAACTCATCTGAGCTCCTCTGGAGTTTCCGGTGTCTTGAACCGTCTCAGGAGGTGCTGTGGAAACATTTAGTCTCTTTTTAGAATGAAGGGCTGAAAACCTTCCTCTGGGGTTTTTGTTCAGAGTTTAATGGCTGATGGTTATTTTTAGTCTGGATTTTCAGTCTCATGCTCTGCTGTTGTTTATGGATCGGGGGGTCAGACGAGGGTCTCATGGTTCAGTTCCTGTTATAGAACATGTCTCTTGTCCTTCTTTTCATCTGTTTTCTTTCTCATCATTCACACACACACACACACACACACACACACACAAATGTTCTTTCCACTGGCGGGTTGCCCAAATTGTGTTATTGGTTTCCCTGCCGCTCATGTATGTCACTGAATGATGCCGAGCTAAAAATACACCTCACTTCATCCAGAATTCAGCCGAACGAGACTTCAGGACGTCAGGGGAAGAACGAGTGTGTGTGTTTGTGAGTGTGTGTGTGTGTGTGTGTGTGTGCTGGAGTTTCCGGTGTCTTGAACCGTCTCAGGAGGTGCTGTGGAAACATTTAGTCTCTTTTTAGAATGAAGGGCTGAAAACCTTCCTCTGGGGTTTTTGTTCAGAGTTTAATGGCTGATGGTTATTTTTAGTCTGGATTTTCAGTCTCATGCTCTGCTGTTGTTTATGGATCGGGGGGTCAGACGAGGGTCTCATGGTTCAGTTCCTGTTATAGAACATGTCTCTTGTCCTTCTTTTCATCTGTTTTCTTTCTCATCATTCACACACACACACACACACACACACACACACAAATGTTCTTTCCACTGGCGGGTTGCCCAAATTGTGTTATTGGTTTCCCTGCCGCCCATGTATGTCACTGAATGATGCCGAGCTAAAAATACACCTCACTTCATCCAGAATTCAGCCGAACGAGACTTCAGGACGTCAGGGGAAGAACGAGTGTGTGTGTTTGTGAGTGTGTGTGTGTGTGTGTGTGTGTGTGCGAGAGAGAGTGTGAGTGAGTGAGTGTGTATGAGAGTGTGTGTGTGTGAGAGAGAGAGTGAGTGAGTGAGTGTGTATGTGTGTGTGTAATCTGACTGAATGTTCTTGATGTTTATCTGCTCAGATCTTTCCGGATCCCTCAGACTTCGAGCGCTGCTGTAAGCTGAAGGACCGTCTGCCGTCTATCGTGGTGGAGCCGACGGAGGGCGAGGTGGAGAGCGGGGAGCTGCGCTGGCCTCCTGAGGAGTTCCTGGTGAGCGAAGAGGAGGAGGAAGAGTGCGATGGAAACCTGCAGAACGAACAGATGCAGAACTCTCAGCATTAGAGAGGAACCAACTGACTCTCTCTCTCTCTCTCACACACACACACACACACACACACACACTGATTCCCAGGGATAGAATAGAGGATCACACCAACGCATACAGAACAACTGATCCACTGACATCCGTTCGCTCGGACCATGAGCTGGACTTCATTCCCACCAGAGTGTGTGTGTGTGTGTCAGAAGATTATTCCTAATGGTGATGGTCTGTCCTGCACTCATTCCTGTTATTTACATGCTTTTCTGAATAACACCAATCTTCCTGACCAGATGCCATTAGTGTTTGTATGTGGATTTTACTGTTAATATTCTGTAGATGAATGACCGGTAAGATGTCTTTAGTGTGTCAGTCTGCATCAGTCCTGAATTCTGTCGGAGAAACCGCAGCCGTCTTCCTTTCATCTGATGTTGCTGTATTTGTCCACAGCAGGACTGACCGTGTGTCATGTTCTTATGGATCCTGTGTTTGTGTGTCTGTATGCAGTATATATATATATGTGTAGATGTCAGTGTTTGTGTTGCGGGTCTGTCACAGAATCACTTCCTGACTGTTCATCTGTAAAGACTCAGGGAGTTTGCTCTTATTTTGTATGTACACTGCTTCTTCTCTGACCGACAGAGGCTGTAAATAAACCATTTGAAAGTGCTTTACAAACCAGTGCTTCCCGAGAATCTCTTCAGACTCTGTGTGTTATAAACGGGAAGAAAACCTGGAGGAAATACACAAATGGAGAGAGAGAGAGAGAGAGAGAGTGTGTGTGTGTGTGTGTGTGTGTGGGTATGTGTACCTACTTAAACATATTTTTCAGAAATAATTTGTACCCAGAAATTAGTTAAAACTGAGAAAACCTCCTTTTGGGGATGTCTGTATTTGTAAACACGGCATAAAAATGTAGTAAGTGTTTTTAAAAGTGTAGTAATGCAGTCAGTTTTCTGTTCGGGTTAGTTTGTAGTATTTATAACTAGCTGTATATAGAAAATAATAGAGGTCTATACAATATTACTGTAAAGGTATGTTTGTGTGTGTGTGTGCAAAAGCTTCTGCTGTGAATATACTCTATTTTTCTAAGCGTTTGTTTACATCTATGAGCTGCTTTGTGAGCGTGAAACAGGCCGTGTGTTTTTATCCTGGTTTGTTTCTCTCTCGATGCGACTCGCCACTCAACACAAAGACTTTAAACATATTGTGACTTCCTGCAGAGAATCTATGTATGTGTGTGTGTTGTGAATGTGCATGTATACTGTATTTAGTTTTGCTAACCGCACGTTGCCTTCCTGCCTCCATAGGCTCACCTCGAAACTAGCACACTTCCTCTCCACAGAACAGAAATGCTGCTTTGAGCCTTGCGTTTAGTTTAAATTATTTATCATTTATTGACTTTTTCAACCAGCTTTGTATTATTACAATATCAGTAATATTTGAATGTTTGCCCATGTGCAGCAGGAGAACTTCAGACAGATCTAGGGCTTCTGTGAAAACTACAGAAAGCACTGCCGTGGCTTTGCATCCCTGCTCACGGACAGTCGGATTGAGCCCAGTGCATTATGGGTGTTGAAGTTTTCCTAAATTTTAGGCAAAAGGGAACACAGCCCTTTCTGTTTTCTCTAATCATGCAGCACAGATTAGTTATTTTGGTCACTGTTTCAATCAAAAGCCCAGCAGTGAACAAGCTCAGCTGATGTGATGTTAGTAAGAGCTCTGCGTCTCATACTCATTCACTGACAGACTCTCAGTTTCACTTCTGAGAGCTGAAGATCACAAAATGAAGACTTTAACTCTGTTCTTCCTGCTTCGATCTCTTCAGCTCTAGATTGTGTGCTCCTCTAGCATTCACGTTGTGTTCTGACAGTACTGTACAACTCTCCTGGGAATATTATGTGGCTTTGGATAAAAGCATCTGCTGAATGTATTCGTGTAAATTATGAATGTATGCAAACGATGCCACTGAATGTTTCAGTAATCAGGCCTTCGGTCAAATTTGTTCTGATTTGGCCATAGAAAGTTTTTCATATTGAAACACAAATCTGAATAGATTCTCTGTTAAGCGACATAAGTGTCACCTGTTTTATACTGTGTTCAGTACGTGACTCTCAGCAGTTGATAACTCAGTTTGAAAGTGACTTCTGTGTGAGCGCTGCTTCATACAGCACTACAATACTGACAATTAACAATGCCAGATCTGTCTAATGTGAGCGCACTGTTATTGTGTGGAAAATTACAGTGGGCAGAATGTCACGGGTCACCAGCTTGGGGGTTAGGGGTCAGGACAGGTGTCGTTTACATCAAGTGATGCTCCCAGCGCTGAGTATGTGTAGAGAAATAACTTCCAGAACATCAGATGAACTGCTTTTGCATTAGCGGACCGGCTATCATTATCCTAACATGAGATTTCACACCTGACGACAGACCCACCGGAGGCTCCACGGATTCCTGCACTTCTGAGAAAATCACCATGAGCGTGTGTGTGTGTGTGCACTTGAGAGAGAGAGCATGTGTGTGTGTGTGTGTCTGTGTGTATTTTAAATGGTTGTCCGGGTCACTGATATCTGTTCTGTCTCATTCTTGAAATTCTTTCTAGTGGAAACAAATTGGCACTGATGCTTGTCTGTCAGCATGTCTGAACACACTCACACTCACTCACACATTAGTGAGCTCATCTCATAGACATGCATTGTTTTAATGGATTGTTAATGATATTTTCTGTGTCAACCTCTTAAAGACCTCCGACCCCTAAATAAACCCTCACAGAAACCTGTGCAAAACACTAGATTAAAATACAAGCACCTGTTTTAAAACTACTGAGGACCAGCTCACCAGTCACTGTTCAAAACGGTTAACTATTAGTGAGGGCATTTGGACCTCACAGGTATAGTCAAACCTTCACACACACACACACACACACACGCATTCTCAATCACAGCTGAAAGTTAATGTCTCTCTGTTCGTTTGATTATAATGTAACACACACTTTCACAGTGTATCAGAACTCATACTGTCCACATACACATCCATTACTGTGTGTGTGTGTGTGTGTGTGTGTGTTCAGTATGCGTAAAGGAAAGTTTCTATTCCCAGATGAACACTGAGAAAATGGCAGATTATTTTACTCTTTCTTTAGTCTGAACATGAAGCACAGCAGCAAGAGTCTGTGTGACACAGCAGAACCATGACTTAGACACTTCAGTGCTAGAGAAACAAGAGAAGCACAAGAATCACATGAGAAACACAAGAGGAAAAACAAGAGAAACACGAGAACCACATGAGAAACACAAGAGAAACACACGAGAACCACAAGAGAACCACAAAAGAAATACACGAGAACCACAAGAGAACCACAAGAGAACCACATGAGAAATACATGAGAAACACACGAGAAACACAAGAGAACCACAAGAGAAACACACGAGAATCACAAGAGAAACACACGAGAACCACAAGAGAAACACACGAGAACCACAAGAGAACCACACGAGAACCACACGAGAACCACACGAGAACCACAAGAGAAACACACGAGAACCACACGAGAAACACAAGAGAAACACAAGAGAACCACATGAGAACCACAAGAGAACCACACGAGAAACACACGAGAACCACAAGAGAACCACAAGAGAAATACACGAGAACCACACGAGAACCACACGAGAAACACAAGAGAAACACAAGAGAACCACATGAGAACCACAAGAGAACCACATGAGAACCACAAGAGAAATACATGAGAACCACACGAGAACCACACGAGAACCACACGAGAAACACAAGAGAAACACAAGAGAACCACACGAGAAACACAAGAGAACCACACGAGAACCACACGAGAAACACACGGGAACCACACGAGAACCACACGAGAACCACAAGAGAACCACACGAGAAACACACGAGAAACACAAGAGAACCACACGAGAACCACACGAGAAACACAAGAGAAACACAAGAGAACCACATGAGAACCACAAGAGAACCACATGAGAACCACAAGAGAACCACATGAGAACCACAAGAGAAATACATGAGAACCACACGAGAACCACACGAGAACCACACGAGAAACACACGAGAACCACAAGAGAACCACAAGAGAACCACATGAGAAACACAAGAGAACCACACGAGAAACACACGAGAACCACAAGAGAAACACATGAGAAACACAAGAGAACCACACAAGAAACAAAAGAGAAACACAAGAGAAACACAAGAGAACCACATGAGAACCACACGAGAAACACACGAGAACCACAAGAGAATCACAAGAGAAACACAAGAGAAACACACGAGAACCACAAGAGAAACACACGAGAACCACAAGAGAACCACAAAAGAAATACATGAGAAACACACGAGAAACACAAGAGAACCACACAAGAACCACACGAGAACCACACGAGAACCACAAGAAAACCACAAGAGAAACACATGAGAACCACAAGAGAAACACACGAGAAACACACGAGAACCACAAGAGAAATACATGAGAAACACAAGAGAAATAAATGAGAAACACAAGAGAAACACAAGAGAACCACAAGAGAACCACAAGAGAACCACACGAGAACCACAAGAAAACCACAAGAGAAACACATGAGAACCACAAGAGAAACACACGAGAACCACAAGAGAAACACACGAGAACCACAAGAGAAACACACGAGAACCACAAGAGAACCACAAAAGAAATACATGAGAAACACACGAGAAACACAAGAGAACCACACGAGAAACACACGAGAACCACAAGAGAACCACAAAAGAAATACATGAGAAACACACGAGAAACACAAGAGAACCACACGAGAAACACACGAGAACCACAAGAGAACCACAAAAGAAATACATGAGAAACACACGAGAAACACAAGAGAACCACACGAGAAACACACGAGAACCACAAGAGAACCACAAAAGAAATACATGAGAAACACACGAGAAACACAAGAGAACCACACGAGAAACACACGAGAACCACAAGAGAACCACAAAAGAAATACATGAGAAACACACGAGAAACACAAGAGAACCACACGAGAAACACACGAGAACCACAAGAGAACCACAAAAGAAATACATGAGAAACACACGAGAAACACAAGAGAACCACACGAGAAACACACGAGAACCACAAGAGAACCACAAAAGAAATACATGAGAAACACACGAGAAACACAAGAGAACCACACGAGAAACACACGAGAACCACAAGAGAACCACAAAAGAAATACATGAGAAACACACGAGAAACACAAGAGAACCACACGAGAAACACACGAGAACCACAAGAGAACCACAAAAGAAATACATGAGAAACACACGAGAAACACAAGAGAACCACACGAGAAACACACGAGAACCACAAGAGAACCACAAAAGAAATACATGAGAAACACACGAGAAACACAAGAGAACCACACGAGAAACACACGAGAACCACAAGAGAACCACAAAAGAAATACATGAGAAACACACGAGAAACACAAGAGAACCACACGAGAAACACACGAGAACCACAAGAGAACCACAAAAGAAATACATGAGAAACACACGAGAAACACAAGAGAACCACACGAGAAACACACGAGAACCACAAGAGAACCACAAAAGAAATACATGAGAAACACACGAGAAACACAAGAGAACCACACGAGAAACACACGAGAACCACAAGAGAACCACAAAAGAAATACATGAGAAACACACGAGAAACACAAGAGAACCACACGAGAAACACACGAGAACCACAAGAGAACCACAAAAGAAATACATGAGAAACACACGAGAAACACAAGAGAACCACACGAGAAACACACGAGAACCACAAGAGAACCACAAAAGAAATACATGAGAAACACACGAGAAACACAAGAGAACCACACGAGAAACACACGAGAACCACAAGAGAACCACAAAAGAAATACATGAGAAACACACGAGAAACACAAGAGAACCACACGAGAAACACACGAGAACCACAAGAGAACCACAAAAGAAATACATGAGAAACACACGAGAAACACAAGAGAACCACACGAGAAACACACGAGAACCACAAGAGAACCACAAAAGAAATACATGAGAAACACACGAGAAACACAAGAGAACCACACGAGAAACACACGAGAACCACAAGAGAACCACAAAAGAAATACATGAGAAACACACGAGAAACACAAGAGAACCACACGAGAAACACACGAGAACCACAAGAGAACCACAAAAGAAATACATGAGAAACACACGAGAAACACAAGAGAACCACACGAGAAACACACGAGAACCACAAGAGAACCACAAAAGAAATACATGAGAAACACACGAGAAACACAAGAGAACCACACGAGAAACACACGAGAACCACAAGAGAACCACAAAAGAAATACATGAGAAACACACGAGAAACACAAGAGAACCACACGAGAAACACACGAGAACCACAAGAGAACCACAAAAGAAATACATGAGAAACACACGAGAAACACAAGAGAACCACACGAGAAACACACGAGAACCACAAGAGAACCACAAAAGAAATACATGAGAAACACACGAGAAACACAAGAGAACCACACGAGAAACACACGAGAACCACAAGAGAACCACACGAGAAACACACGAGAAACACACGAGAAACACAAGAGAAACACAAGAGAAGCACACAAAAACACACAAGAAACACACAAGAAATACTGTACAAGAGAAACACACGAGGAGTACATGAGAAACACATGGACTCAGTGTTTGCTGGTAGAACAGGACAGATCATGAGTCTGACGTCATTGAAACGTCCATCAGCCACTGCACAATAAAATAAAAGACAATTCACATTTACAACTATAGGATAAGAACTAAATAAACTAATCATTACTAAACCAACAACATGTTTACTAGATCCCATTCCCACTAAACTATTGAAAGAGTTGTTACCTGTAGCAGAAGAGCCTCTTCTCAATATTATTAACTCTAGGTCATGTTCCAAAACCATTTAAGATGGCAGTTATTAAGCCTCTCATTAAGAAACCACAACTAGATCCAAATGAATTGACAAATTACAGACTCATTTCAAATCTTCCGTTTATGTCTAAAATATTAGAAAAAGTTATGTCCACTCAATTGTACTCCTTCCTGCAAAAAAATTATATCTATGAAAAATTTCAGTCTGCATTCAGACCCCACCATAGCACAGAAACTGTACTCGTTAAAATTACAAATGACTTGCTTCTAGCTTCTGACCAAGGATGTGTTTGACCATGACATACTCTTAGGCCGACTACAAAATGACACTGGTATTCAGGGACAGGCATTACGGTGGTTTAGCAGACCATTGTACCATGTTGTCTACTTAAATGGTGAAAAATCAAAGTTAACATCAGTAAATTATGGGGTGCCGCAAGGATCCGTTTTAGGCCCTCTGTTATTTTCAATATACATGCTGCCACTTCACAACATCACTAGAAAACATGGATTTAGTTTCCACTGCTGATGCTCAGTTATATATTTCATCAAGACCAGACGAAATTTCTAAACTATCCAAGTTGACAGAATGTGTTAAAGATATAAAACAATGGATGACCAGTAATTTTCTTCAATTCAATTCAGACAAGACTGAGGTATTACGTATTGGACCAAAAACCTGCACACAGAATCTCTTAGAATACAATTTGCAACTAGACGGATGTACTGTTGTGTCATCATCTGCAGTTAAAGACCTGGGTGTTATATTAGACAGCAACTTAACTTTTGAAAATCATATTTCATATGTTACAAAAACAGCCTTCTTTCACCTCAGAAACATTGCTAAGCTACGGAACGTGTTATCCATTTCTGACGCAGAAAAGCTAGTTCATGCATTCAAGACCTCTCGACTAGATTACTGTAATGCACTGCTAGCTGGTTGTTTGTTATCTTCAATAAACAAGTTACAGGTAGTCCAAAATGCAGCTGCTAGAGTTACTACCAGGTCAAAAAAATATGATCATATTACCCAAATTTTACACTGGTTACCTATTAAATTCCGTATTGATTTCAAAATATTGCTACTGACCTATCCACCTTTTTCTTCAACGCGGAAGTAAGCCTATGGGTGAGACTTCCGGTTCATTAGCCGCTATAGGTAAATAACGAGGAGAATAACAACGTGCAGTAAACGGTAAAACTGTTTGCACTACAAACCAGTGTGTTCATAATTTCAGATAATACATTAAAATAATATGATAAGACACACCAACTTTCAATATCAAGCAGCAAAACGAACTGTTTTGCTCAGCTAAAAATAGCTGGACGGAGTGGACGCAGATGAGACCGGAAGCCATACCCATATATTTTCCAAATGGCCGCGCCCATTTTTACGACAAGAAAAAGGTGGATAAGGAACTAAATGGTTTAGCCTTAGTTTACCTTCTAGACTTATTATGATATATTATATTGTGACCCAAATGATTTGGCTCAGTGTGTTCACTGAGGAAAACCCTGTTCATTTACACGAATGAAACGCACACAAACACTGCTTTTGTTGACTGACTTGTTTAACCAAATGCCTTTTCACTAGGAAATTTTGCAAATAATTACAAGAAACAAGCAAGTAAAACATTGAATTAAACATGACATTTTTGAAGTAGAAAGACAGAAATGGTATTTTCTTGTAAAATGTACTTCAAAAAGTAAAACATTCAATAAGCCAAAGTGCCCAGAGCAACGTCCTTTACCCGTGAATCCGCCACGCTCGACATCATGCATCACATTTAGCCAAATCACAGGTCAGACGTGCCCATCGTGACGAAGCCACGGCAGAATGAATCGCTCAGAGCTTCAGAACGTCTGCAGCTTCAGGCCTCATTATACTTTCACTGTGTTGACTGTCGGCATTTCCAGACAATGAAACCAGTCAAAATCTAGACTGGTTTTCACCTTCATGCGTGTTGTTCATGAGCAGTTAACAGTGTGTTGATGTGACGTCAATCATCATCCGTCTGCTGAAGGCATGAGTTCATCGCTTTGACCTTGTTTGCGCTGCAGTGACCCCTCAGTGGTTCAGTGATAAACTACACCGACCCTCAGATAAAACACATGCCACAGCGACCGGATCATGGAAACACACACACACACACACACTCTCTCACACACACACAAGCACACA